GCGCCGTTCCAGCATTCACCCCGTTCCAGCATCATGTTAGAACCGTGCAGGAAGCGCGAGGCCAGTGGATCAAGATTTTATGCGTCCACGTGGCTCCTTCACGGCGCTGGAACGGAGCTGGAACGGAACCGTACAGACATTTCCGGACACAGCTTCCAGCTGCACGAGTGAGATTCGTATACAACGCAAATAGCCTTTTAGTTTGAATGTAGCTCTCGCAAAAAGGTCGAATCTCTCCTAGCTCTGAAATGAAAACCAGGGCCGGTAGTAATCCCCCCGACCTGGCGGCAGGTCTCGTCGGCAGGTTGCTGGCACCTTTCCGCGAGGTGGCCAGAAACTAAGAACCGAAATTTAGGCCGTCCCAGGCCTTTTTCCGAAAAAATTTCTCGATAAAGTTGCCGCCTTGACTCTGTAGAAAACTTCATAAAAATCTGTGGCTCCAGAACTCCTCCTTTAGTAAAATATCTGGAATTCCAGGAGGAGCTGCCGGCAACTTCGCGATGTCAGTTGCCGGCAACCTGCCGGCAGGTTGCCGGAATCCGCGAGATGGCAGCTGCCGGCAGGTCAGAGAGCACGGGAAATAGCATGCTCTTTTGAGAGAGCGAGCTGCCGGCACCTCGACGTGCCTCTACCACGTCGAGGTGGTGGCACCTTTGCCGACGGCGTCTGCGAGTTTGCGAATTGCGGCGATATCACACAATTTACGTCAGGCGAAAACATCAAAAATTCTACTTTTCATCAAAAAACTATCATTTTTCTCATTGTACGAGTTTTTGTTTTTTAGAACGACGATTTTCTTACAGTGAAAAAATCCAGTAATGCCTTAGAATCATAAAGAAACATCATCTTTTTTGGAAATCCCTTATAAATCTCGTTTGCACAGATTTCGCCGCTCTCTCGCTCATATCAATCAGCTGTTCTTTCAAGTCAAAGTCTCTCACGCAATGTATCGATCCCTTTTACAGGCAGCATTTACCAGCGCGTTCCTCCTATTGCTGGTGCAAAGGGCAATGGCTGACCGAATGGTCGAATGGTTAACGTGGTGGCACTTCAAGTTAACACGCATAGGTTCGACCGCGCGCGAGGTAGCAATTTTGCGGCTGTCTGCGTCATCAAAACTTAATGTGCGAAATGAGTGCGTGCTAAGGTTACATAAGATTATTAAAACCTACAATCACTGCTGCCGGCGGAGTTCGCATCTTTCCGCGATGTGTGCCAACTTGCCGGCATCTTTGATGCCACCAGGTAGGGTAGATTACTACCGGCCCAGAAGTTCGCAATTACACTCTAGAAGGAGATTTGTCGACGTCTTCGCTAGCTTGTCTGCCTCTTTCCAATCTCTTTGCTCTTTCCAACAGTGCGATATGCAAGCATACTTCTACCGCTGCGACGTGCAAATTTATATCAAGGGTTCGGCCTGAATCCCGAGTGGGACAGAATGTAGTTTGTAAAACGATGCTAAACTACGTTTAAACGTTTAAGAAAGAAAAAACTGTTAAGATGAAGTTTTATTTGAAGGCTAGCTCGAAATCAAGATCATCTTCAAGTACGTCAATGTCTCTACACACTCCAAACATGGCGTCTGGCAGACAGTGAGATAGCACTTAACGGTAAAGCGGGCGCGCAGAGATCGCCGAGCATTGGTAGAATAGCAAGAACGACCAGCCTTAGAACTGCGACCAGTGAAGAGAGCCTTTCGCCTCCACCTAGTGGTTGAGGCAGGACCCTCATGTGGTCTTTTGAAATGAACTCAGCAGGCGTTAGAATTCCACCTGTTACTGTAAATACTCATCTGTAGCATTTTAAATGTAAATAAGTGTCTGTTTGTTGTAACTGTGTGTCCGTTCGTATGTTCCCAACAGAAAATTGCATCTCTGAATCAATCTGGATCAAGCTTTGCATCAACTCCAGGTGGGTCGGATGCCGTAGACTACTTTTCGTCATCGGTCATATTGATTTCATCAATTTTTTGCAAATTTTGAGCTACGGGCTGGGAGTGCGGCTCATTGGGGTAAGTGAGGGCTTGCAAACATAGTGTTAATTTTCAGAAATATCAACTATCTACCGTTATCGACTATATCAATTTTTTGCGGACGCTAAGGGCTGAGAGTTGGCGCAGGAGTAGGCAAGGATACCGTTTCGAAGTTATTGATATGTATAAACATATTCTGCAGTCGGACTGTTCTGTGACCATTCACGACGAAATCCGGATACTGTATGCGATCTCAAATTTTGGACGATATTCATGAGGACGTAAGTTCCTAAGCTCATATTTCGGCGATCAACATAGATAAGGATCTGGCTTGAGCATAGTATTCCGATAGCACTGTCTCGAGTGATTTCAAGATACGAAAAGGAGCACTTGAATTGTCCAACGTTGTTCAACAGATACGCGGGAAGGGTATTACAGCATTCCTCTCAGCATAACTTTGCTCAAAGAATTTACGTTACACGAGTGATCTTTTCTGGGAGTTCCTGTGGATTGTTAGTTTACTGTTTACGCTATAACGAAACAAAAGGAAGACTACGCTTTTAAGTTCAGCTCAACTGAACTTGCTAGAGAAGATTTAGTGGTATGAAAATTTTGCTCAGTTCGCCATTGAAAGCTTGAAGGATTGATGCATGCTTCAGTAAGCAAAGGTCCAATTAAATCAAATTATTCTAAATAACCAAGGTCTTTCCTACACAACGGAAAAAAACAAGACTGTTGATTTGTTTGTTTGTGGAGAGTTTTTGAAAGATAAGTTGAGAAAATAGATTTCTCTGCATGTTGATTTATCATTTTATGATTTTATCTCTTGTTTGCTATTTGGGAATAGATCTGGACGAGGTGAAATGAAGTGGGTAGCTTGTTGATTGAGATAAGTCAAAACAAGAGCTTCACTTTAGCTGCAGTTTGACGTTCAAGCTTTGTTGACGAATTATGAACCCATCGAAACCATAATTATGAACCCATCCAAACCTGCTCACGCCATTCGCTGTTTATCGCATTTGCAGCAACTATTGTGACGCCGCGTATGACAGCACCACAAAAAAGGAAAATGAAGCACGTATATCACATGCGCAAGAGGATATTAATAGAAAGGAAGTCAGCACAACATGTTTACCCGCCTCTAGCATGGGTCTAGACGCATAATCATATCAATAGGATCGCATAGCAGAGCTATTCACAGCTAGGCTTGCACACAATTTACTAGAGTAGTTTGCCACGCCTAACGCGGCGAGTGCTTCTGACGTCTTGTGCGTAAGTGACACTGGAAGTGGTTGAAAAGGGAGACGGCGTTCCCTTTAGGATGGACATTTGCTAGAAGAGATGTGGACATTTACTAAAAGATATGTATAATCAGATTTTATCATGGCGGTGACGAGCCATGGTAAAAGTGGGGTGTGCTTAAAAGGGGAAGCATATCTCCAATAGTTTGGTAAGCAAACTTTGTAGAAAAAACTGCCCTTGTAAAGGACACCTACCTGATGCCATTTTTTGGCAATTCTCAGGAATAGTGACCCATTGACATACCCAAAGAACACTCCAAAAGACTCTAAAAATTTCAGCAATAGCCAATCTCCTTGCAAGATTTCTACCGTTTTTCTTCCCCCACCCCCCCCCCCTCTTTTCTCTTCACTGTGCTGTCCGACAAGTACAAACTCTTTCTGTTCCCCCCTCCCCGTCTTCTTCACCTCTTTTTTCTCCAATGTGCTTTGGGTTCTGTGGGCTTCGAAATCTTCAATTATCACATGCGTGACAGGGCCGATTTCTCGATGACTGCCATTTTGGACCAGAGTATATTTCGCAAGACTGAGTTTGCGAACATATTTCAATGTCACTGATGGGTCCTGTGGCATGAAGTGTTAATTTTTGGGAAGTTCCAAAAGATGTATCAGAAGTTTACTCGGTTTGCCTTGAAAAATCTACCGTGAACTAGCAAAACCAGAAACTTCAGTCCGAAATGGCAGGACACGTACAACCCACTGGCGGGTCGTACTGTTGTTATACTCTAAAAATGGGTGACAACAACAGGATGTAAATGAAATGCTTTATAAAGAATCAAAAAATCAAGAATCCTTTTTGAAACTAACCAAATCAATTTTGTGAAAAAAAAACTAATTTGTTGCAATTTGTTCAGTTTTCATTCTGAGATTGTAATATGAAATCAGTGTGCTATGCTAAATCATTTTCACTGTTATTCCCGAATTTGAACTCACACGAAACTGCGTTATTCTTGACGATTTTTTGAGCCGATGCCATATATTCATCCCTTTCTGATTTCAGAACGCAACAAATTTGGTTCACTATAATGTAATATGAGAGCTCGTTGTGGGGGGGGGGGGGGGCCTTTCACGAGCTTCCAATCATGTCTGTTTTCCAAAGGCAACAATCACTAACGGAACACACCAGACGATGCTACCTTACTCTGGAGTACTGGTTGCCTGATTCTTAGAACTGGTAGAACGTAATTCAAATTCACTGTTAGACTACACGTAGAGGATGTCTTGAAGGATTTCGCCACTGATAATGAGATTGTGACCTAAATTCTTTCTCGCTTTGACGTATTTGGCAACTCAGGTGCCTTTTTGTAAAGCTGGCTTCAGCTTAGATCACAGTCTAGAGCAAAGTAATGATCGTCCTTCGCCTGCAGGACTACGGTAGGAAGTTGAAGGGCTCGCATTGAATTGCTAAGATGGCAGTACTCAATGACAGTTCTCCATCATGAGCTCTACGTATTGGGGCACAAAAGATCTCCGTTCTGTGTGCTCTTTTGCGAAAGTCTTCAAGTCTTGAATCGTCGATCCAAATGTTTTGAAACAAAGGCAAATTGTTGCAACAAGGGTTTATTCATGATAGTGTCCTTGACAGAATTCACTGGGTCATTACTCCTCTGTTGCAGCCTATAAAAAACGCACATTTAGTTTCCATTTTCTATAGTTAAGAAAACTAGCGATCATGCGCACTCAAAAAAAATGGCGGGCTTTTGCTACAAAAGTCCACTTCGCACTTTTAATTAGTATGCTAATGAAAATATATGAATTTCTACCTCTACAGGCCCTTCTGGGGAAGGGCGTCCATTCTTGCCTCCGCGTTTTCCATGACCGCGCTATAAAATCAAAATATTGCGTTGATATCAACCACGTGTTGCAGAATCAATCAAGCTGTTACAAACCCCTTTTCTGGATCCTCTACGTCCTTCTTGCCCTTCTGGCCCTTCTGGTCTCAATGGCGCTCCTTCAGGTCTTGCGGGTGGTGGCCCCCTTGGTCGACGTCCTTCTGCTCCTGGTGGTCCACGTGGTCCTTTTGGCCCTGGTGGTCCACGTGGTCCTTTTCCTGGACCTTTTGGACGACCACCTGCGTTCTCACCAGATGGCTGAATAGTCAAAACTTCAAAGGGGTAGCTGTGAATGTATGAATCAAACGTTTGCTATAGATTATAGATCGAGCTTGTATTGTATAAACTCGTTTCAAAGTATCACTATTGCTAACTGACAAAGATGATTATAGTGTAGTAGTTGATTCCGATGGAAGAGGAGAGCAAGCACAACCTTTAACTACGCTTTGTGGGAAAAAAAGCAGATCCCATTTTTTGGAGTTATCTAATTGCTGGTTGCCTAATAACGATGTGCACCACAATTGTCACGGGTTTTCTGAATTTCAGTTCATCAGAATTCTATGCATATTGCTCGTGTTACAATAGTAAGGCCGTTATGCTCTGCTCTTAATATCATAAAAATTTTGTGAAGTGAGCATTAACCTTTCGTATAGCCCAACTCGCAATACATTGGTACTACCCGAAATTTACGACAAGGCGCATCTTTTCAATTTTTTTTCAAGCAAGCAGTCGGCCGCACACTGAGCCTCTTGGAATGGTTGCTCTCCTACGCAAATCCTTCAAGAAGGAGCAGCACGATAGAGGGTCTTTTGTTCGCAAAATTTTTGGTGTGCTCAGGCTGGTCGAGAAGTTTAGAAAATAACAGGTGTCTTGAACTCTTGAAATTAGGGAAAAAAGATCGGTGCGAGTTAATGAAAAAAAACTGCTATTATCTTTATATTGGATAGGTTGGGAGCCATTCGTCATACCTAAGGGTAGCATTCCACCCAGTTTGAGGAGGGGAGGGGGAGGTAGTTAAGGCCATTGCCTAATTCCCATTTTATTAGTTGTCCCATAAGTCTTTTCATTTTTGAGTTTTCGCTGTAGTAAGTCGTACACTTCTTATTCTAAATAGACATCAGGATACCATTCGATAGAGCAAAGCAAGCTCTATAAGATGGCGTTTATGCTTTTGTACCAGCTTCGGTCTACCTCAAGTTTGAAAACAAAATCTAAAAAGTTTCGGATGCCTAGAAAATTGAAAAAATTTTATATCTTCATTCAAAAATGATTTACAAATCTCTCAGCCGCTCACGCGTATACACTCCACGTCAGACATTCATAAGTGCTGTTGCCGTCTTTTTTATTGGAAATCAAGAAACTGAAAATTTCCATGTTTATACCAAAGTGATGCTATGCTCTTCTTATACTAACAGTTACATACTACGAGCCCTCAGAAGTACAATTGTAAATTTTCAGCTCTCAATAAGCTCTAGTTCCTGAAAAATATCGAATTTAGCTTTCCTCACTCAGGTTTTTCACGCTTAACTCAACATTTCTCGGAAACCAAAGCTTATAAAGAGCTGAAAATTTACGATTGTACTTCACAGGACTCGTAGTATACAATTGTTGGTATAAGAAGTGCACAGCATCACTTTGATAAAAACATAGAAATTTTCTGTTTCTTGATTTCTATCTAATGAAAAAAGGAAGCAACAGACACATATGAGTGTCTGATGTGGAGTGTATACGCATGAGCGAGTGAGAGATTTGTAAGTCATTTCAATGAAGATATAAAAAATTTTCAATATTCTGGGCATCAGAAACTTTTTATATTTTGGTTTCAAACTTGAAGTATATCGAAGCTGGTGCAAAAGCATAAACGCCATCTTATAGAGCTTGCTTTGCTCTATCGAATGGTATCCTGATGTCTATTTAGAATGAGAAGTGTACGACTTATTACAGCGAAAACTCAAAAATGAAAAGACTTATGGGACAACCTAATTGAGACCTCCTTTATTTCGGAAAAAACTACATTCAAAGCTTCTAAGCGCGGCCTCAGGCTGGACAAGTTTCCATTTTCGCATTCCTCAACAATTTTCGGGCGATGCAGTCTTTGACCCTGCAGTCAATTAAGGCAGAGCAGCAATTGTTTCCTCAGATAAAACACCCATTCTCACATCTATGTCTGTGATGTCCGCAGAAGGTTCTAAAAAAGCTTTGTTAAGGTGAAGAACACAAGAAAATTTATCAACGAACCTTCGACGTCAGCGAGTGTTATGCCGACCAGTAGCACTAGCTTAATTAGAAAGGTGTTAATAAGCAGCGGGATAAGAACATAATATACCAAATGACTTACTGTTCCGAGAATCAGTAGCTTCATTTCTTTGGTGGATAAGGAAGTGTGTCGTAATTTTAGCAAATGATTACTTATATAGGCTCATAATGTGCACTGTGAAAAGGAAATATTAACAGCAAAAGTAACAAACTCTTTGTGTGAAATGATGACTAAATAGAAGAAGCAAACAACTGAGCAGATTCTTTTATTTTTAGTGTCACTTCTTTCTGGCAGACAAAAAAGTGCTGCAGCACTTTTGATTATATAGTTTGATGCCACAGTTTCCATGACACCTGCAGAACTATGCAAACTATTAAAGAGGTTTACTTTTTTATTTTTGAACGATTCCAAATCCAAATCTGTCTATACAACCGTAATACAAATTAATACATTGACTAGCTTTTCATATCTGTTATAAAAAAATTTTCAAAAAATTTTCAAGGCATTCAAGGCGGGAAATAATGCTTGATTTTGTGAGCGCCTTTGTGCCTTCTATTTGTTTGACCCTAATAACAAAGCAGAAATTTACACAGAGAACATATCCATAGAAGGACAAAAGCTTTTTGTCTTTTGTTTTCAAATCAAAATGACTCAGAATTACCTACTTTTCGTTCTTATCAAATCTTGACTCGTACTATCTCCAACTCTTAATTACACAATGATGGTCTAGTCTCATGTAAAAGATGCAGAGCCTACATCAACATTTTGAGTACACTTCAAGAGTTTACATACTAACTCAGATGTCACGGCAAATCATGAGCTGATACTGGTCGATTATGTACCTTCGTAATCTATAAGCTCGGCATTTTGGATCCTCAACATTTCTCCCTAGTGATGTATGCGCGAGTACACTACTCAGACAGTCGATCGGACCCCTCCGGCGCAGAAATGGCAGGGCCGCGGTGTTTCCCCAGCGGGGGGTCTGCCACTCGTGCGCCGGAGCCCCCCGATTTTCTGCGCCGGAGCCCCCCGATTTTCTGCGCCGGAGCCCTCCGATTTTGTGCGCCGGAGCCCCCCCCCCATTTTGTGCTCCGCAAGTCTGCCGCGGATTAGTGTAACTAACCCTAAATAAGCTCCAAACCCCAGAAAACACACTCCGGATAACATTGGTGGAGTGGCTGTGGAGGTTAATCGGAATTTTTTTAGTGATAGGTGTCGTAATTTGTGGTTTTTCCAGGTTTATAAGTGCGAAGCTCTTGCATCGAATTGTGGCCGATGTCTTACGCTGAATGCTGAAAAGTATGAATGTGGCTGGTGTGTTATAACAACAGATGTGTCAGACCAATGGCATGCTTGGCAAGATCACTACAAGATTGGCTGAATAACACGCAGCTGTGTGCAAATCCAGCTAATGAAGACTTCAGTCCTAAAAGGGGACCCGTCGGTGGAAAAACGAAGGTTAGGTCTACTGCTGCTGCATTCACCTGTGAAATTGTCGCTTTTACTAGCGAGAAAGTACTATCAGGTGGAGTGACCATGTGTAATGAGACTAGTGAACCAGTAACTAAACGTACCTTGCCAAGCATGCCATTGGTCTGACACATCTGTTGTTATAACACACCAGCCACATTCATACTTTTCAGCATTCAGCGTAAGACATCGGCCACAGTCCGATGCAAGAGCTTCGCATTTATAAACCTGAAAAAACCAAAAATTACGACACCTATCACTAAAAAAATTCCGATTAACCTCCACGGCCACTCCACCAATGTTATCCAGAGTGTGTTTTCTGGAAGAATCGCTCGAGGGCCACACAACGTTGAACTCAACCGGAGCTGATCCTCCCGATACACCAAGCCCGTAGTGATCGAACTGCATCTCATCACAAGCACAAACAGAATTGGATGCAAAATCAAAACAATTGCAATTTTCCTCATATCACATTGTCGTCGAATGTCCCGACAGCAGGTTTTCTCGCTCAACGTTTCCTACTTCGAAGTGACATCGAAAATCCGTCAAAGATCGAATCGAGGTTTTGCACCTTACAAATCCAAGCTCAAAAATGAGCACTTCGTAGAATGTACCACTCACCTTCACTGTGATATCTCTCCTTTCACCTGCAGCTACGTAAACTTTGGTTTGCGGTGCGAGGGTACGTGGACATTTCTGTGGACCTTTTTTCCTAGAGTGACCCTCACGCTGGAATGCAAATTTGAAGGCTTGTCTATCATCAGAAACAAGGACACAGACTTCCCCTGCATATTATGACCTTGTGCAAAGTTTGAGAACTTGGAATCTCGAAAAAAAATGAAAATTTCTTAAGCGCCTGTCACAATTTTTAACAGGTAAACTGTAAGTAGACGATATACTGAAAAATGTGAAAGAGTTGCATGAGCTTGCATAGCAGATCTGCATTTAGCAAGAATGCGACAGACTAACCGTATAAGATATTCCCTGAGACAGAGCCAAGCAGTGTACGGATAATTCTAGCATCAATCAATTCCGGAAATACGGAAATAATTCAAGAGACACCACATAAGGGTGCCGAGGCCGAATCTCAATCACAAAAACCACTCCATCAATAGTCAACGATGTCTCAGCAAGTCGAAAAGAGCCAAACACTAAAATGACTAATTGCATCCGCACGAAAACCTAAAACCTGAAACTTGAAAAGAAGGAGATGAACAAATAAACGCCAGCGCGCCGACGAGGAACACGAAAAACCAAAAAAAAAGAAAAACGAGCGCGAAAGAACGACAAAGAACGAGTAGGACGAGAACGACGGCAACTTATTTTCGAAAATGCTAAGCTGCGTATCACAGCAAATTGACTGCGTACATATATGTGCACCGGAACCCTCCCATTTTGTGCGCCGGAGGCCTCCCATTTTCTGTGCCGGAGCCCTCCGATTTTCTGCCCGGACCCCTCAGATTTTCTGCCCCGGACCCCTCCGATTTTCTGCGCCGCGACCCCAGCAAATCTGGCGGACTCGCGGCGGGCAAATCTTTGCGCCGCGACCCCAGCAAATCTGGCGTACTTGCGGCGGAGAGATTTGCAAGCCCGCCGGAGGGGTCCGATCTGCCTTCTTTGTGACGTCACAAGAAGGGACCGCCCCCTCTCCCCGCTCTCATTGGTCAACTGGGTCCGCCGCGGCTCTGGCAGATTTCGACTGTCCGCCGGAGGGGTCCGATCGACTGTCTGAGCTACAAACGTGAAACGGGGTAGATCAGGCACGATGACAACATAATTTTTTTATTTGACTTTACTTGAATTCAAAGAAGCTTTGAGCTTCAGCATTTGACTTCCACTTTTAAAAGTAAGCTGCGGTCCGAGTATGGGTGGACAATCGCCAACTAACAATCACCTGTATCACCTGTTTCCGATTCCCAGTCGTGTTATATGAGCGGGTACCAGTGATACATTCATCTATGTCACCGGAATTTTTGAACCAGTGTTTACTATCACGTCATGAACACGTAGCTTGAAGGAATTCATAGGACGTGAACATGTTTGACCATCGTATCGGCGGTTTTTCTCGTTCCCACCTGACGCCCAGTGGTATGTAATAGTCTTACAGCTTCGTCCAACTATTGTTGTCAAAGCGCATTACGTCACAAGCCCACCTTAGACTGCTTTGGTTTGGTGTATGCGGCTGCGTCCTTAATCCTCGATCACTGACTTAGGGCCACATGCATTAACCTCCACGCCGAGGAGGGGATCGCTGCTTAGAAAGAAAGCTTCATACCCTGAAGCTCTAAATATCTGAATTTCACGCTGTCTACCTATCCATAAGTACTCCTACCATCCTTCACTATGAACATATTGAACAGGAGCAAGAAGCTGTACAAGTCGCATCTTCCAGCATTTTGTATGATCCCCTGTTGATCCCCAGCGGCCATCCGTATTTCCTTCAAAGTAGTCACTTTTTTTCGAAATCAGCGAAAACCTTCCAAATTCGTATTGAACATCTAACACAACAGCGCTAAACATGTTGCTGATAAGAACAGATAAGTTTTCGAAAAATCGAATTTTTCGATAAATCCCAACGTTCGAATTGTGGTTCATCGCAAATTTCATGACTCCAATATATCATTTGTTTCCTATCAGCAACATGCTTAGTACTGCTGGGCTAGATGGACAGCACCATTTTGATGTTCTCGTTAGCTTTGAAGAAAGAAAAATGACTCTGAAGAAAAGACTGTCGGCCGCCAAGGATCATTAGGGAATCATACAAAATGCTAGAAAATGCGGCTTATACAGCTTCTCCTCCTGTTTACATGTTCATAGTGAAGAAGGACAGGAATACTTACGGATGGATAGACAGCGTGAAATCTAGAAGTTCCAAGCTTTAGGATAGAGGTTTTCTTTGTAAGCTGCGATCCCCTCCCCAGCGGAGATGTCAAAGCATGCGGCCCTTGGTGTGGGATTCAATATCCCTTCCCTCACTTGTGCGAGCTAGTTCACTACTAACATCACCCTTCGAACAGCACGCTCAATGACGCTAATCGTAAGTCAAGCGAAAAACGTCGAATTGAAGAGGTTTGCGCAAAGCCAAATATCCTTGGTCTTCTTCAGTACGTTTTTGGCGGTCTTTTATGCTCCCCGTGCTGCACTTCTCCTGATCAGAAGCTAAGTCATTAGCATAACGCATAATGCGTAATGTTACGACTACGAGTCAGCAAAGCGACGACCGTCTTTTTGCTCATTGTGTTGTGATACTGATTGTGAAGTCATTGTATTATCCGAACTCTGACTTAATGTACTGACTGGAGTAACTTGATAGCTCAAGCATGATGACAGCTTTAATCTCAACCTATTCGAATGCTTTCTTCAAGTTGATAAAGGTGAGACCGAGCGGCAATCTGTACTCTTGTGAAACTTCTGAGCGTCTATATGGTGCACTGTAGTGAGTCCTCTTCCAAACTGCTCCCAGCTTGCTTGCATGGTTGACCTTCTTTTACCCCTTTTCCGATCCGGTTGCGAATGACTCGCTAAAGAATTTGTAGATTAGGGACAACAGGCACACCGTACGGCGGTTACTAACGTCGCGAGTATCTCCATTCTTGTCCAATAAGTCTTGCTGATCATCCATTAACTCGGGAGCT